TAGTATCTTCGATTGAGCTCTCTGGATTATTTCTAAATTACTAACGCAAGCATTTCCCCATAGCTCGGAGCCGTATGTCCAGATGGGTTTGAAAACTGCATGGTACAAAAGTACTGTAATGTCCTATCTCAGGCTGAGGTATGCATCAGTCTGTCCAGGGTCCTGAATTACAAGTTATTTATAATTCACGAGGACTTTATCGGGAAAACCAGGAACTTTGCCAGAAACTGAAATAGAAATCACAACACTTTTTGGTTCTTTTAATTTTAATGGATTTCTTTATTCTTCCGTATTATTATTCTACCCGGTTATGTTATGTTTCATTGTTTGACGACGCGTATGGTGGTTTGACTGCCCTCTACGATGGCTGGTGGATTGCCTCCGACGATGGCTGGTGGACTGCCTCCGACGATGGCTGGTGGACTGCCCTTTTCTCCATGCAAGGCAGTGCCTTTTATAGATCGGCCGGCCTTCGATTTTCCCATGAATGTCTTACAGATATCTTATTTCTACTCCAGAATGTGGAATGGGTTCTTACATAAATATATATTGCCGAATTACAGTCTGCGCGTGCAGACGGGCATCGGTAACAGAAGGTTACCTAATCATTAGTCCTGCAGTCAGTGTCCAATATTCCCGGTAAGGAAAGTCGGAGACTGCTGACTGGCTCGCGCATGTGGGGGGTCTGCCCGGTAATCGAGGGTTACCTAAGCAATCGCCTGCCAACAAGTGTCCAATGTCCCAGGTAAGGTGATCGGTGTGCACCGGTACCGTGGGAAAGGAATTTCGTTGGTACTTCCGGGAAATATATATTGTTAGGAATATTTATTTATTTAATATTATTTAAGGTACTTATTGCGAAAGCCCTTGTGCTGGTCTCCTGTCTTTTGGCGTGTGCTGAGTTTGCATTTTTGCTGGGTGTTAATCGCTTCACCTGGGAGTAGCGTTGGCTGCGTCGTCTGCTTGTGACAAACCATGGGATCCATGGTTCGTTACAGTACTTTGTACTCCAGCTTTAGTGGTGAACGTGATTACTAGCTTTAAATTTAAGTAGATTTCTCTTCGCTTCGATGTGTTTACGCCAAGTAAGCCTTCTATCCAGATGAACACCAAGGTATGTTACTTCGGTGGTTTGTGGAATGTTGATATTGTTCATAATGGAGGGCAAGTTTGTCTGTTTAACGTAAAGGTCACATGCATGCACTTTTGCTCATTTGCATGTATGCGCCAGTCTGCTAGCCATTTTTCTAAGGCCACGAGATGAGATGATAAGTGTTCCGTGGCCCTTCTTGGGCAAAATCCAAATTGGTGAGTCGGGATGGCACCGTTGATGTGTAGGTGTTGTTTGATACGATTTAGGAGCAGCTTTTCAAATATCTGTGATAGGCAAGGCAGTAGGCTGATAGGTCTATACGATGATGGCTTGGACTTGTCTTTTCCGGCTTTATGGATCATTGTGATGACTGATTTCCTACATTCTTGAGGATAGTGGCCCCATTTCATCATGCTGTTGAATATCACAGTAAGGAAATACACTGCACAGCTCGGCAATTCTATGATCATTTTGGGAGAGATGAAATCGTGGCCCGGAGCTTTCTTTTGCTTTGAGATTTGGTCTTTAATGACCCTTGTTACTTCTCCTGATTGGAATATGATAGGCGGAGTAGCTTCGGGATTGTTGGTTGGTGGGAGCACAAAGCTATTGCTGGGTGTGGTTTGAAGACGTTTTTTAGATGGACGGCAAATGTATTTGTCTTCTCTTTGTTGCTGCGAGCCCACTCTCCTGTTTGTGTACGCAAAGGTGATTCACTCTCGATTGGTGGGCATACGCCTGATTTTGCTTTCCACAGTGGGAATCGTTTGCTAGTTGGGGAGAGTTGCTCCATATAGGATATTTGAGCTCGATTTTTTTCATCTTCTAGGGCTCTGCGTAGTAGGTGGTTGGCTATTTTTAGCCGCTCTTTCGAGGCAGGTGATCTGTGTGCTTGCCACTCTCGGCGAAGCCTTCTCTTTTCGCTTAGCAGCACTTCAATGTGCCTAGAAATACGAATGCTGTTGGAATGTTTATTAGATGCTATTACTGGTGTTGAGTATTTTGCCGCCAGTGACATTGAGGATACCAATGCTTCGACTGACCCATCAATGTCATCTTTACAATTAATATTTGGGCAGCTATCAATATGAGAGCTTATGTACTTCCTGTATTTGAGCCAATCTGTTTTACTAGAAGTTAGAAAGTGTGGGCGTTCCGAAAGCTGTGGATGGTCGTAAAGGTGAAGTAGAATGGGCGAGTGATCCGATGATAGATCTGTTAAGTGATCTACATTGATCTGAGCTTACAGCACCCTTCGTGTAACTGCAAGATCAATCAAGTCGAGTTGCTTGTTTGGATCTGTGGGCCAATATGTGGGCTTGCCCGGAGAGATAAAGTCTAGTTTGTTTCGTGGGGTTATTATAGCGTTATATAGTTGTCTTCCTTTCGGGTTGGTAAGTCTAGATCCCCAATGGGTGTGCTTGGCATTGTAGTCACCAGCTGCTATAAATCGGTCACCTAGTAGGTCGAAGAATGTTACAAATTCTGTTTCGGAAATACAGAAACGTGGTGGGCAGTATACTGCGGCTAGGTTTAGGTAGCCGCTCTGAATTTCAATATGAATTGCTGTTGCCTGTAGATAAGGTGTAGCAAATGAAGGCAATGGATAATGCCTAATGCGATTCTTGATCAGAACGCCAGTACCTCCATGTGCCTTACCATCGGGATGATTTGTCGCATAGAAGTTATAGCCATCGAGGTGAAAATAGTTTTTATTTTTTAGGTGAGTCTCTGATATGAGCATGGCGTCAATGTCGTGTTGAGCGAGGAACTGTAAAAGCTCGCATTTGTGCTGCGAAATGCCATTTGCAGTCCAGAAACATATATTTAGACAGGACATTTAAACAGATTTCTGTTTGATTAGGAGCTCCAGGAGGAGATTTTGGTTGCGCTTAAGCTCCTACATCGTTTGTTGTATTGCTACCATTGTGTTTGTTATAGTTACCAGCATTGACTCAATTCCACTAGGCAATTGGGATGGATTAGCAGGGGTATGTTGGGCAGAGATTTCTGGGATCTGATTTGATGCCTGATTCTGCATTATTCCAGCTGTGGTTGGTTGAAGTGTCGGCTTGGAGACTGAGGCGTACGACCCGTTGTTGTAACTTAACGCCTAAGCAAAAGAAACTCCTGGAGTCGTAGTTGATGGTATATATGTTAAGTTTTGTCGGACGACCGGGTTTCGAGCTGCAGTTATTTGTTGGTTTAGGCGATTTTTCAATTCTTTTGTAGACAGGACAACCTCTATAGTTGGCAGTATGGTTTACCCCACAGTTGCTACATTTTTTGGCAGATGGGTCCTCCTTATTTACGGGGCAGGCCTCAGTGAGATGAACATCACCACAGGCAACGCAGACTGCCCGTAGAGTGCAATAGGTTTTCGTGTGTCCATATTCCTGGCAATTTGTGCATTGGACCGGTCCATTTCGTTTGTGTGGTTCCTCAACGGTGATCCTTCGGTGCAGTAGGTATTGAAGCTTTTATATTGGGTGAACTTCATTTTTACCTATATGCATACTTTCAGGTGTCAGTTCTACTTTGAACATTGGCCGGGGAATTTTATTTCTATTTATTATGTTCATAGCCATTTTGACTTCGAAGACCTTATCGTTAAGTCCATCTATTATCTCATTGATTGGGACTGTTGGTTCGATTCCTTTGATAACCACTTGTAATCCTTTGCTACTTTAAAGTTGGTAGGTGTAGTAATTCATTTTTTCATTTTCGAGGTATTTCGCAACTGATCGATAGTTTTGTTCGTCATTGACTTGTATTTTTGTTTCATTTATGTTACCCCGTTTTATGAACGTGACATAGAATGTGTTTGCGCCAATTGCATCAGCTATTTTTTTGACCAGTGCAGCACAATTTGCCTGTCGAACATAAATAGGTGGCGGTCTTAATTTTTTGGCCTTGGGTGTTTGGGTGATCTCATCTTCATTTGGGACACTAAGTATCGCAAATCTATTGTTTTCTAGTGCCTTATGTGGCACAGTGTTCTCGGTTATTTTAGTTATTTTAGCTGCATTGTTGTTCTTCATATTTTGTGGGCTCAATTTTCTTTTGATTTGCACATAGCGATCGAGCCCAGTCTGAATTAAAGCTCCGTTAGCATTTTTTGAACTTATTGGTTGGGAAAGTTGGGGCTTGTCGCAGTGGGTCGACAGTATCGGGCGCTGAGCAATTGCAGTGGTTGTTGTTGTGGTTGTTGTTGTGGTTGTTGTTGTGGTTGTTGTTGTGGTTGTTGTTGTGGTTGTTGTCGTTGTTGTGGTCGAAGACACAGTTTTGAGCGAGGGCATTGTACTAGTTGTTGTCGATATTAGCAAATCGCTGGTTAAGCAGTACGAGTCGGGTGATGGGCACTGAGCACTCCATGATCCACTTTGCAATGCAGGGGAGAGAGAGCGTGCTCTCTCCTCGTTCACTTGCAGTTTTTGTTGGTACTGCTGCCTTTGGCGAGCGTATAGAGAAGTACGCGTTGTTTTTTGCTTGCGAGAGCCGACGCTCGTCTTGTTGTTGTTGCCGGGCTTGGCTCATTTTGGCTTTGGTTACAGTGCTTGTGCTCTTTACCGAGCTGGTGCTCTTGAACGTTGACATTTGTTCTTTTCTATTATTTCTATTAATCTTTATTACTCGATTGGATGGTATTCATGGGCAGCACGATCACTAGTACCCATGCCTACCCCGAGCGCTTTTTCGCGAATTAATTTATGATTAATCGCGATTAATTGATTTAATTGATTTTCACCGCGGAGCGATACAAAAATACGTCTGTAGTCGTTGACGGTCGTTTAAATAGAAATTGAGCGTTACTTTAATTTGCGCTATTAGTTTCGAATTTTAATTAACCCCTACTATCGGCTGCTTTTACATGGAATTATACATACATAAATATGTATTATTTTAGGTGCAAGCCAAAGGATATGCTTGCTGGGCGCCTTGAAAATGTTACACAGACGATATCGAAGATACTTCAGGGATACGACATCCGCCTGAGGCCTAACTTTGGAGGAGATCCACTACACGTTGGAATGGATTTGACCATAGCAAGCTTCGACGCCATATCAGAAGTTAATATGGTAAATAAACTTTTAAATGCTTAATAACACTTTTAGGATATAAACAATATGTAATCTGTTTGATAATAAGGATTATACAATAACAATGTACTTGAATCAGTATTGGCGCGACGAGCGTCTGGCGTTCAATATATTCGGGCCGTATTATAATGGCGATGCAGATGATGATGGGGTCAATGATGTTCTGACTTTATCGGGTGACTTTGCTGAGAAAATATGGGTACCTGATACATTTTTCGCAAATGACAAAAACAGGTACAATGCCTGTAGTTTTAAAAATCTTTTTATGAGCGTTTATGTATCCCATATATTTTTCCAAAGCTTTTTACATGATGTAACCGAGAGAAACAAGCTGGTGCGCCTTGGCGGCGATGGCGCTGTTACTTATGGTATGCGGTTTACCACAACCCTTGCTTGTATGATGGATTTGCATTACTACCCACTGGACTCACAAAACTGCACCGTGGAAATTGAAAGCTGTAAGTCAAATGGCAATTAAGCAATTTCTTGTACGAGCGCGGATCAATAAGTCCGAGACCTTTTGGATTAAAAACATTTTTTTGACACACAATCATTATATTTATCAACATGGTCTTTTTTAGATCTACAAACTTTTTTCAGCATTTCTCCAATTTGTTAAAACAAAAGGATTTGTCGATGCCCTCAAAATAGGCTTTTTTGAGAGAAGGCTTCACTCACATTTTTAACACAGCCATTACCACATCAACGTTCCCGGAAAAGTGGAAGGAGGCCTATCCCAAGAGCAAGCTCTCTAGGCTATAGGCCAATATCCATACTCCCGACCCTATCAAAAGCGTTCGAGACCTTGGTAGCTGAACAAATAAATTAATTTCTTACAGAGCACACATTACTTAACGACAATCAATCTGGATTTAGAATAAATATAAGCTATAGAACTGCAATGATAACGAGAAGGAACGTGTGAGTCGCTTCTGGGGACGCGACTTTACTAGTACCCGAACTCAGTCAGTATATTCATTTTTGAGCTTATGATTTTTTAGAATTTTAAAATTAAAAAGACTCAAATCTCATTCCGCCGAGCCATTTTTTAAGTTTGGAAACAAGAAATATTCATTAAGGACAAAATCCAGTGAATAGGGTGGGTGAGGGAGCAATTCGCAGCCTGATTCATGGATTTTCGCAATGGAAACTGCAAATGTCTGCGCATGGCATTGTTCAGGCGGAAAAGATTTTTTTCTTTGCCAAATGCTGTCGTTTCTTTTTTAAATTTTCATTAAATCGATTTAATAAGTTGGCATAATATTCGCCATTGTCTGTTTTACCCTTTCTGAAGGTAATCACTATGGTTAATACCGCGAACATTCCTAAACGTTCGCCATGACTCTATTGAATAACGAGAAGGAACGTGTGAGTCACTTCTGGGGACGCATTTACATTTTTGAGCTTACGGTTTTTTAGAATTCTAGAATTAAAAAAAAAAATTTTACATTTTAAATTTTTTTGCTACATATGTTATTTACATCTACTATGTATATTCTACATCTAAAATGTAGATTCTATATCTCCTCAGCTAGGGTTTGCATGCGCACTGAACGAGGCAGAATGTGCGAGCGAGAAAGAGAATGATTAGCGAGACCCTGTCTGGAGTGGGCAGGTGAAGCAACTGAAAATTGATTTCTTCATTCTGGCTAAATTTATGATCCGATCTGATTCAGATTCGGCAATCTGGTAGATATGGGCATTTTCTACGATACTGCATTTTCAGTTTTATCGTATCTTTAAAATTTTGCCTGCCACAGATTTTCGTTCCTTGTGGTGGCGGAAGGTGGCAGGGCGAAATTTTTAAATACACTTGTAGCAGTGTATGTCCAGACTCACATGAGTCTGGAAACCAAATTTGATTTCTCTAGCTCTTATAGTCGCTTAGATCTTGCCGACAAACAAGACGGACAGACAGACATGGCTCTATCGACTCGGCTATTGATGCTGATCAAGAATATATATACTTTATGGGGTCAGACACGTTTCCTTCTCTGCGTTACACACATCCACTTTTACTACAAATCTAATATACCCCTTAACTTTTTGAGTACAGGTATAAAAAACCCACTTTGGCCTTCTTTTGCCTAGAATAACTCTGAGGAACCTACTGTTTTGACTGCTGGTTTGGTGTGTTCTAGTGGATCCACGGTTTATCCACGTTTACGAAACGAAGTACTTCGAAGTTGTCTCACGAGTTCGTTTGTGGTCGATTGTGAGGAAACGCGGCAGCCATCTTGCGGAAAGCTTTCTCATACCCAATGATAATTTAAAATTGAAACTACTTAGCCATGTGGTTGCCTATGGCTTTCAGAATATCTTGACAATTCAATCTCCGATCGGCAAACACGACATCGTGAATTTTTTCCATTTTTTCGGGAATGAGACCATTACTGGGCGTCCAGGATGTGCGGTATCGTTTGTGCTTGTACGCACAACGAAATACAGTAAACCACTTTAGTACCATTGTAATATCCCATAGTATGTATCAAACTTTTCTTTGGTTTCAGTGGTGGTTTTCGAACTTCACTTTTTTTCCATTTTTTCTTCAAAGCACGAGGAAGCTTGCTATCAATGGCTGTATACCTCAAACAAACTGGCACAGATTCTTCAAATTTTGACAAGAATCAGCTAATAGATGCCTTTCGATAGAAAAATTAATTCCATATCAATTAATTGGCGGAAAATTTTAAAAGTATCGGGCTTATTGATCCACCCTCGTACATATCGATTTCTGCAATGTTAATAAAATCGCTACATAAATGTCATAAAATCTTTTGGTTACGACTGGGAAGGAGCAAAAATGTGTACGCAGCTTCCTTTTTCTGAAAAAATCCATTTAGGTGCCCCCTAAATGTTAAATGCCACCTAGACTATTTGCGTAAATGCCTATATGCCAATGTTCGGTAATTGAACGTATGACTTTGATCCGACTAATTACACTAGTCGACATTTTCTTAAATACTTAGGGCTTAGAAATGGTTTGATGATTTTTTTTTCTATGGCAGAACTTTGTTTTGAAGAATTTTTGAAAACTGGTATTTTTTAAAGCTTTTTTTCAGAGGTAGCGCTTCTTTTTTTTCACATAACTATAGTATGGTACGTCTGGTTGTAAAGAAATTTGCTATTTTGAAAAGATAATTAAAACAGCTAAGCCCAAAAACTTTGTCATTTCAGTTTACCGTTTGGGAAATATAAAGCATTTGAAAAATCCGGAATGTTTTTCCCGGAACGATATTGTGGGGATGACGCCGGTCCAGCAGCTCTAGGTGTGGTGCTTCGAAAACGGTGGTATGCGGTGTCAGCGAAATTAACTAAAAAAAGACAGCCGTTCAATTCAAATCCGTTTAATGCACTGGTCGCAGCCAGCGATGCCAACGTACGCCTCAGTCCAGAAGGGAGCCGATCGAACATGCTGGGAGATGGCGTAACAGCGACTGAGCGTAACAATCCAATAACTCTTATGCTATGCTATTCTATGCTATACTATGCTATGCTATGCTATTTTGCTGCTTCTGCTCCAACATTCCGGCCCCGTTGAAGGACTCCGGCGCTTCAACCATCCAATGGCAATTTTGCCAGTTTTTGGATTGCGCGTTTAATAACGCCTGCGGAAGTTCGCACCTCTGCCACGCGCACTCTCCCATCTTCTCCTGCCGTCGTTGCCACCACTGGTCCACTTCTAAGGCGGTGTGTTGTCCTCGTGGACGAGCACTAGGCATCCTGCCTCGAGGTTCGGCCCTTCGGTAGACCACTGCTGCCGCTGCTGCAGGCTGGCCAGGTAGTCCTTGGACCAGCCCTGCCAAAACTGCTGCTTGAGCGCGGACAGCATGCGCCACCGCTTCAAAAACTCGAAGCTGCCCTTGCTGCATTTGGCGTCTTGCTCGGATTCGGGCGGCAGCGAAAGAAGCGGCTGCCCGATGAGCAGGTGTCCTGGCGTCAGGGCTTCTCCATCGCTGGGGTCGTTGCCTGGCGAAGCGATTGGCCGGGAGTTGAGGATGGCCTCTACCTTGACCAGGTGGGTGCTGAGCTCGTCCGCGGTGAGCTTGGCGTTGCCAACTCCGCGTATCAGCCGTTGTTTGGCTGCCTTGACTGCCGCCTCCCAAAGCCCTCCGAAGTGCGGTGCTCTCGGTGGTATGAAACACCACTCGACGCCGTGCTGTGCTGCGTACGTCCTGAACCGATCCTGATCCCTCTGAAATGGTGCGTGAAGCTCTTCCATCACTCGGCTCGCGCCCACGAAGTTGGTAGCGTTGTCGCTGTAGACCTTCTCCGGAAGGACTCTCCTCCCGACGAACCTTTTAAAGACACACAAAAAACTATCAGTTGATAGGTCCACTACTAATTCGAGGTGAACAGCCTTTGAAGCAAAACACACGAACACGGCTACATAGGTCTTAATGGGGGGCCTGCCTCGAATCTTGAGGGACACCTGAAACGGACCGCAGAAATTTACCCCACAAATCAGAAAGGGGCGAGCTCTTCGCATGATCTGTCCCATAAGGATGGGCTTGTATCGGAAACAGTGCACACAATTCCTCAAAATTCTTGTGCATGCTTCTCGGGCGTTCAGTAGCCAAATCTGCTGCCTTAGAAGGGAAACCATTACTTTTGCACCTGCATGATAATGAGCACGATGCAAATGGCGTAGAAACAGTGTCACGAACTGCGACTTTTGCAACAGCAGTAGAGGAAACTTCGCATCGTATGGAATTTCTGCGTGCAGCAACCTTCCCCCAACACGAATCAGTCGGAAGGTGACTCCGCCGAGTTCGCTCGTGTGTATGAACGGGCTGAGTCGTTGAAGATTTGGAGACAAAATTTCTGACCTATCCAGTTTGAGGAATTCTGATCAAAGCTCACATCTTTGGACTACCTGCACCAGCCTAAGAAATGAGACCTTCATCTCCTTAGCTGACACAACCACATCTCGACTGCGATTACCACCTTGAATGAACCGATTCATATACGCCATGATCCGAAGCAACTTCTGAAACGACGAGCATCTTCCAATCAGCTCGATGACCTCAATAGTCTGACCCTTTGCCACAGAATGGCACAAATGCAAAAATGATGATTTTTGTGCGGTATTTTGTACGAAATTTTGAATTTAAAAACTCAGGAAAAGTCGAATTATATCCTGTGCTCTCTATTTTTTTGTGTATAGGTGCAATAATAAGGCGTCATTTAAATTATTGTTCATTAAAATCTGTACAAGAACTTTTGAGCTAAAATTCGTTAACCAAACCTAAAAAATGAAGAAAATTAAAAAAATGAATAAAAAATACATTTTGGAAGGTTGCGGCCCAACTGCCAATTGGGAACAAAGCAAACGAAAAAAGGTTGTACATTTGGTACCTGATCGTGTTCTTGGTATGAAATACATAATTTTTTTTTTGTCTGGACGTTGATATGCAATGACTGCATCATCAAGTGGCCCTTGCGACACCAAGCCGAA